CCAGGAATGAATTTTGATCTAAGAATAATGGATGCTTTCCAATTCCCCCGTAGTTTACATCACTTTCAATTCAAACGATTTATCAGCCAAACCCACCTCAACCCTGCACATCCGACTGTTTGCCTTTGCCAGATTAGCTTGCGGCCACCCGGTATTTTGAAGTCCTCAAACCCTGAGCACCGCCACATTCTTAAGAACACGCAACCGGTTGCAACAAGCAGGCAGATGCCTGAAATGTTCGCAGGAATGTTGCGAGCCGCTTTAGATTAACGCAGCGATTAACTGTAATCTCCGTGTTAATTCCTGCACTCCCTCCTTGAACATTCTCACTTCCCAGCGCTGACTTTCCCCAATTTGGAATGTTTCAGTACAAGCTGGAGTTCAGGGGCAGTGGGAGCGGAACCGGCCGAGGCATGGGCGGCGAGGGCGGTCCGTCCAGTGGCGGCGCAGCCAGCGGCGACTCAAAGGGGGGAACAGCCACCGGCTCGGACCAGAGCTTATGACAGTTGGGGATGTCCCGGCGCAACAAGGGCGACTCGAGACGCACTCGGGTCTCCTTCCTGTTGTTCTAGGACATCAGAGCTGCTCGTTTGTTGTTGAGCTTTGCTTTTGCTTTCAGCAGTTGTTGCGTGATCTGACTCAGAAGGGGCACTCAACTCTCTTCAACTCACTCTCAAGTTTGGCAACTTGTTCCTCAATTCGCCCTTAAACTGGTTAAATTACCGCTGAAGTTTTTTCCGAGAGCAAATTTCTTCGTTTGATATAGACTACACAGTGGCCCCGACTTGGTCAGAATCGCTTTCACACTATTTCCACTACTTTTCCTTCACACCAAGTTCCGCGTGCCAAAACCGAATCAGGTGACAAACTAGTAGGGTTTTTCCTCGGTTCGAGCTGAGCTGCGCTGCGCTAAGTTAACGTAGCTGGCATTAACTAAGAAAACAATCATCTGAAATGACTGCATTAAATGTAACTTACACCAATCACCTCGATATGTAGCGTTTAGCGAATAAGTAAATGATACTGTTACCACAAGGGAACCGTTATTGACTTTTAGAGTATATTTTATGTATTCAAGTGATGTTTTCAGTAGATTAGTATACCGAGTAAATTGCGTACAAATCTGTTTGGTTTGGGGTTTAACAGTATTCCTGAGGGAGCTGGGAGTTTGAGCAGAGCCCTCTTAGAGCATGTAGAACTAGAACGAATCGCGCCTCCACCACACCAAGTGTTTAACTGAAGACTGACGAAGAAAACCGCAGTAATTCGCGTGGACTGAATGTCCCAGTTCCCTCCCATTCAACACATACTTGAAGTATTATTTAGTTAAATAAATGGTATAAACTAACTATAATACATGTCGTGCCTGTAAACTTATTACAGTGATAATTGTAGACAAACTTAATGTTAGGTAAGCTCCTTTTAGGTAAGTTGTTGGGAGGTACACGAGTTTAGTTGAGGATTTCGCTTCTGTTTCCAGCTCGGAAACAGGCGGAAAGTCGGCTAATTTTTGTTCACTAGTTTAGACCTAATTGCTCGTTCGTTTTCGTCTTTTGATACTCTGTTTTGTCGCAAATGGCTTAGTGTATGCCGATAGTGATACTAAAGAAATATTTTCATGACCAGCGTAGAGTTTAGATTTTGTACCTTACATCATATATTATATTATATAAATAGCCGATTTTATCTTATGTATATTGAATAATAACTGATAACAATATTAGTATAAATTATATATAAAGTGAGAATATGTAGAGGTTGATTAAATCGAGCCGTATGTTCTTTTTGTTAACTGTTAAGGACGCAAGTTGTTGCCAGATGTTAAGAATATGAACTACTTGTAATAATGAATCAAAAAACAATATATGTTTAATAATAAACGGGGGTGAATTTCTTAACCTGACGCCTTTCACGGGGGCGAGATTGTTCTTCGCCTCTTTTGTTTGAATCGCCCAATCTAGGCCAGTTACGTTATAAAGCCGCACGAACGAAAGTGCTCTAAATGCTTGTCCACTGATTACTGATGAATTATTATTTAACTTGGTTTGATGGCTCGCATAGTAAATCCCCGGATAAAAATTGCAAACGTTAAAAAAACGTTTAAAATGTGCCGAACATGTCTATTATTTCGGATCTGAAACTTTTAGCACGTTTTTCAATGAGTTTGATGCATTCTTCGCGCCCATGAGCTGAAAATGATCTCAAATTTAAGGCATTTTGAGAAGTTTTAAATTTTTTCAAAAAATTTCGGCCAAAAATCAAAATTTTACATGCGGGTTTTTTGAGCTCAATCGATTCCTTTCGACGCGAAAAGGTCACAAATATCCATTTATAAAGTGTTTGGGTCAATAATAAGGAAGAAATCGTCTGCTAAATATCGTAAACTCTCAAAAACCGCTTAAAATGTGCCGAAAATGTCTATTATTTCGGATCTGAAACTTCAAGCATGTTTTTCAATGTGTCCGATGCATTCGTCGCGTCCGTGAGCTGAAAATGATGCAAAATTTAAGACATTTTTGCGATACAAATAGGCTTTACAAGACGAAACCATGTTGCCACTTCATCCCTTTCAGTAAAACGTACTAGAAAGAAAAAACAGTGAACCGATCCAGGTTCGAGACAAAAACAAATCTGAGATGCATAGAGAATGGCTTTGGCCATCTACTGGGCGCACTGAAACCTGCCTACGTTATTGATTCAAAATTGGCAGTGAGCCTTTAATGGTTTTTCAACTGATCCTTCCCAAGTCGGTTAAATGATGGCGCCACACAGCTGTTTGCGAATTTATTTCAACTTGGGGCTGAACATTATTTGAAGTGTCGAAGTTGGGGGAATCACAGTGCCGAAACTCAGGAATTCACCATTTCCAACTCTCAATTTAGCCAAAAACATGTCCACCATACAACACCATGAGTGCAGCCAATATTAGCCCATCCCAAGCACCGTTAATCAATGCCATGACAACCACCAAAATGGTGAGTCCTATTGGTGCAAAGCCAACTGGATTTCGTTTCAAACACGGTGAAAACCTGGGGAAAAACAATTTGCACGATGCAACTGGCGCTTAAATGAGGACTCGCAAAGAAATGAATACCCAAGCAAACAAGATCGTTGACTGTCGGGCGATTTTATCAGCCATATAAATGGCGATTGGCACCATTGGCAGTCCGACTCCAACCAGTCGATAACCCAAACTGCCATTTTAATGACCCAATCGTCCGCCTGGATTATTGGCAGGACGGCTGCTGACCAACTAAAATGCCGCCCAGTGGCCGACAAAAAGTTCAAGCTCCATTACGCTGTCGAAAATCGATCGAAGTTTGAAAACTCGTTGTCTGTATTTTGAAAAACCAACGCCGCAACTGCTTTTTGGCCCAATGTGTTGGGAACTTCGGTTTCCATATCGTTCGCAATCGCTTATCCATCGAGTTGGAAGCGTCTGCGAACTTCCAAGTTTCCCCAACCGTCCGGATATCGAAAGATTAAGGGAGTTTCAAGGAAACAACGTCCTTGCATGCGGTCACCTCCCACCAAATTGAGTTGTTTGTGTAGTGGAAGTGCAGGCTTATCTCTCGGTGCACTCGAATCCTATTAGTACAAACTCCCCATTCGGGTTAATAAACAGTTGCTAACATCCAATTTCCCCCTCCTCCTCACTCCAGATTATCCATCTTGTTGCCACAAATTGGATGTTCCCGTGCAATAAAACACATCTTCAACTCGGGGAAGTCAGCTCCAAAGCCAAAGCCAATGGAGCAGTTTTCCTGTCACCAAGTTTCCCATTCAAGAATTTTATGTAAATCAATTCCAATTAAAAAACCTTGGAGCGTGAACAGTTTTACGGGCCTTTTGACCTGAACGGTGCACGGGAAGCGTTTCCCTCCTCCGGAAAGCTCATTTCCTAATCTCATTAGTAGGAATGCGTAAAAAGTAACGATATGGGGGATCTCCTTTGTCGTTCGGGGAAAGTTTCTTTTCCAGGAACTTCATGTGTACTCAATGGCTTGTTTAACTTGAAGGGGGATGCGAAACGTACAATTGTTCAACTGTTACAGGGCGACGTAAATCGACAGTTTAATCGAGCTCCACGTGTTCAGGGCTGATGGAAACCTCTAACAGGGGGGCTGGGATTTCGAGTTCAGGGCAACGTTTCACGGGTTCGAGTTTTGCAAAACTAACCGAAGTGTTAACTCCTATTCGCCATATTTGCTTCTATTTGTTAGGACAATCCCACAGGTGTAAATTTTCCTTTTTTTTTAGGAAATTTAGTGCCTGTTCGCATTGCAATATTTCCAAATTCTGATTTATTTTCCTGACTGCGTGTACTTGTTATGGTATTCTTATTTTTCCTGGGTCTCAGTCAAACTGTCAAACAAAAATTTGAATATCGTTTATTTCATTACGTTTCGGCGAGACAACAGCGCCATCATCAGATTTAAAATTCACACAAACTCATAATTGGTAAACATTCTTTTAGGTCTTTGCAGTCCTGCAAGCCCTAAAAGAATGTTTACCAATTATGAGTTTGTGTGAATTTTAAATCTGATGATGGCGCTGTTGTCGCGCCGAAACGTAATGAAATAAACGATGTTTCAAAATCTTTACTGCACACTTTGACTGAGACACAGGAAAAATAAGAATATCATAATATTTCCAAAGGAAAATTTCACTTAATTTTCAGAAATTCCAACTGATTAAAAATGCCCTTTAAGTGTTGATTTCAAGAAGTATTAGAGGTGCGCCACAGTGAGGCGCGATGAGTTATAACCCACCAACTCACAGCGCCGCATTAACACAAAAGCGCAATTCAACACAGTGTTACCCAGGCCTAGTTTGAAAGTCGTCAGTGGACATTGGCATGTGGAATGTGCTGTACGACATGCCATTTAACAGCATTGGAAAAAGATGCCGAGTATAACGACTGGTTAACGATGGAACAGTATCGTTTTATGTTCTTTTATGATGTTTCGCGCATTTGCGCTCACTTTTATGTTTTTATTGAATACCCGCGGCGTAATGTGCGCCAATAAATGTAGATGCATGTTTTGTGCGCTATCCGGTGGAGGATATCGCAAATATTTTCCCGTTGGCAACGGATGTAGGAATTTTCATTTCAATGAGCGCAGTTTTGTTTATTGCTTGTCGGCGTTTTTTTACGTTTTGTTTTGGGGGATTAGCGCAAAATTCACTAAATATTAATTGAGCCGTTATATACGCGGATTTGTTGTGGATAAAGTCATCACATTTCTGCGTCATTAACATTCAAATTCCACGAACTCTTTGCAATGTTGCGCTCAACAACAGTTGGAAATCCAAGACGAACCAAATTTACATCCCATGTAAACTGAAGCTTTCGTTATCGAGTGCAGAAAGCCTCATCCCGATATCTCAACTGCCCCGGCAGAAATAGTCTTCAGAACTGTACAACGTAAAATTAAAAAACCGCGCAAAAACACTCCTAAGTTAAAAAATTCATTCCAATGGCACCAGCGGCTTAAATGGAACCAAATTTACACTCCATGTAAACTGAAGCTTTCGTTATCGAGTGCGGAAAGCCTCATTCCGATGTCTCAACTGCTCCGGCAGAAATCGTCTTCAGAACTGTACAAAGTAAAAATAAAAAACCGCGCAAAAACACTCCTAAGCTTAAAAATTCATTCCAATGGTACCAGCGGCTTAAATGGAACCAAATTTACGTCCCATGTAAACTGAAGCTCTCCTTATCGAGTACAGAAAGCCTCATTCCGATGTCTCAACTGCTCCGGAGTTAAAAAGTTAACAAGATCTGGCCAAAAGCAGCAAAACAACGTTGCCAAAAACGGGCAGCCAGAAAGACTGCAAAGTGAATTAAAAGTTGTCCAAACCAACTCCCTGATAGTTGCGAAGTTGCAAGTTGAAACTGGAACGAATTAAATTCGTCAACTATCAACCGAAATTCATAATTGAAAGTCACATAGACACACTCACCACGCCCTGGTTCTCCAACAAGGCTCCAACTGCTCGCGCAAAGTTTCCGTTCGGATTAAATTGGATTAAGGTTGTGATGTTTGCGTTCTTTTATTGTTGTTGCCGTTTTATTCGATCGTAACTGTTCGAAAGCCGGCCCTAAATGAAATTAAAGTGCGACCCAACGAGAAACTGAATTTGAATGGCGAAGATCTAGCGGAGATCGCGTGCACTTGATTTTTTTGCAGGAGATCAACCTGATGCCGGCTTAAGCAACTCGCGGTGACCAACTGCAAAAGAACAAACTGCCTGGCTTCGAGGGTGGATTGTAGCTGCAAAGCCCGTTCGAAATTTACGGCTTCGCCGATCCAAATGCTCTCAAAATTAGTTATTAATCTTGCCACCGGCAGTTTCGGATATGTCCTAGAACTCCAATTAAAATGGCTGATATTCGAGAAACTTAATTTCAATTTCGAAATCCCAGGGAAAGTATGCGTATACGGGAATATTAAGTTAACGAAGTCGCTGTGGAAGCGAACGAGCAGTTGATGAACTGGTAGCTGGCAGGTATTAGCAAAACGAGAAATATTATTAACTTAATCAACTGGGAGGCTTTCGTTTGTTAATTGCTTGATTTCGGTTCGGATGCCTGTAAACAATTGAGCACAATTTCAGACTGATTATTAGAGCTCGAAGTGGGAAGACGTTGGCGAATGGTAACTGTTTTTATCGCGACAACACAATCAGCCCCAACACTATAGGGGAAGGTTCTCGTGCTTTGTTGGCTGATAGTTTTACTTCAATTGAACTTGATCAGTTGTCTACGGTCCGTGCCCACTATACTTTATACTTTCAGGCATTCAGATGCTTCCAGACATCCATCCGGGCATGTGACTTAAGGGTGTAGATATTCCCGATGCTTAGGTCGTAACCT